ACTGGAGACATCCTAGATTCATAAAAGACAGTTTTTGTATTTAAATCCATTGATAAGTTCACAGAAATGGCATTGAACCTTTCATATGGACACCTGCAGCAGGTGGGGTTGGAATATTCTGTGGATCAATGCTGGACCTCTCGCCTCCTCAGTCTCTGCCCCTTGTCATTCTGGGTTTTTAAAGGATCTTCCTGTCTTTACCATCATCATTACTAATTACTCGTGGCATTTATGCCTTGCTCTGATATTTAAAGCAGCCGGAGAAGTGTGAAAGGGTCATAGAAATGAGAAACCTCAAGATTACATCATTTGCCTGTCCAATTTTTTTTTTTTTACTTAAAACAAATATGTCACAAGACTTAGTGGACAAATCTAATTTTGTACATGTACAACCATATCTATTTTAATTAGTAATATACCCTGCTACCTAGTTGCCTCTTTATAACCAGCAAACAGACAAGGCTGGGAAACCAATTAAGACCAGCAAACCATTTAGTTTGGGCTGGTTTAGTTTTAGTTTTTCTTATTCACCAGGGTACTCAAAATATGTTAGTATATTTTAATGCAGATTGTGCAGTGAATACATTTGCTGAATTCATGTTTGAATTCAGTAGTGACAGGGACTGTTGATGTTCTCCACAGGTGGTGGCAGCTGCCGTATTACTGGGCTGGCATTAAAATGTACGACCTGGTTGCTGGATCACAGTGTCTGAAGAGCAGCTACGTCCTGAGCAAGAGCAAAGCACTGGAGCTCTTCCCTATGCTGAAGAAAGACAAACTTGTGGGAGCCATTGTCTACTATGATGGTGAGCAGGAGCGAATCTAAGGTTTAAGTCTTGCGTATGATCTGCAACTATGCACATTTTCTTTTCTCTTTTGTCCAAAAATCAATTTTAAATTCTATAAATGAATGAAATTCTAAAGTCAATTTAACTGTATACACTACCGTTCAAATGTTTATTAGATTATTATTTTATTATTTGATCAAAATGCAGTAAAATGGTAACATTGAAATATCATTACAGTTTACATTTTTTATGTATTTTAAAATGTCATTTAGTCCTGTGATGGCAAAGCTGAATGTTACTCCAGTCTTCAGTGTCACATGATTCTATTGATTTGGTGCTCAAGAAACATTCCTAACCTTTTTTCTTGTGCTTTAACACTAGAACTACCAAGGCAGTCATTTTGACTCTTTTTCAATTTTGAAACCCATATAACTATAATATCCTGACTTTTCCTAAATGTGTGTATATTTTATTATAACATTGTTATTTTAATAAAATTACAAAACACAAAAGAGTTCACAAAAGTTTTTACCTTGAATGGCCAAAGCGGTCAAATTGCCCTTTCGCATTACAGACGGCGTATAATTTCTGCTTTTGCAATTTTATTTATTTTTATTTTTTTCGCTGTGGAAGATGCACGTCACTATTACCTAGCAACTTTTGTTCTAGTTGTTTTTATATTCTATTGCTAAGCTAAAATTCCCGTTTGTAAAAAAGCCGGGTGGACACCTTCAATACAGCAACTGCTGTCATTCAATGCCATGGTTCCAGGTAGGCTATGTTAGGCTGGAAGACTATAGCCTGGCTGTTATCAATAATAGCCTTCTTCAGTGTTATGACAAAATAGCCATAATAATAATAATAATGGCTATTATTATTTTTATGCTAGTGTAATGCTATAGCTAATGCATAGCTTATTTTAGCCCCGACAACACTGATATTGTGAAATAAAACAAACTAATTAGGCTTTTTTTAGCAACAGTGATGATGTTTATTATTACCTATACTATCATAACAGATCCATTTATTCATGCATAACGATTCCAGTGGTGGCTGCATAGAATTGTTTCCGATTCATGTGATCCAAACATTTACAATAACTCCAGAGCGTTGTAAAGTTCAAAAGTAAAAATGTATTGAAAAAAAGATGTATGTTTTATCTACAGAAATATTCTGCTTCCGTTCATATTTGTTGGCATTCAAATACAACATTTTTACTGCGGTGAAAAACTTCTGCTCTCCCGCTTGCCGGACACAAAGCGAGGCATGCACATTCGGGAGTGGTCTACGTAGCTCTTACACAATTAAATATTACAAAAAATATCGTATTTTTAGGGTGATTACGTCATAAACTATGACGACAGATATTCAAAGCTTCATTGTAAAACCTCAAAAGAAGCTTCGAATATAAATATGATATGACCGCTATGGGCATTCTAGTAGTTATAGAATTACGGTAGTTCTAGTGTTAAAACAGTAAAAATCCTTATGAGTAATGCCTTTGCCAAGCCTGTGGACAGAGATATTTTTTCTTTATACAGTAGGCTATAAGAAAAAAAAATCTTGTTTGTCATTGATAACAATAATTTGTTGTCAATAAAACATCTACTATTGTGATTCGTGGTTTTATGCGGCAATAAGTGCAATCTCATTTGTCTCTGTGACATTCCTGCATAATCTTTGTAAAACTTTGTGCTGTTGCGGCCGAACTCATTGTGCCCATGTCTCTGTTGGCCCGTCTGTGCTCTGCGCCGCCCGAGGCTGCCACCAGGCAAAACTTCCATATGTTCCTGGTTAGTCTGGGTGTGCAGAATGTGTCCCCTTTACTCAAGGTCCCCTCCGTGGCAGCACAAGCCCCACCCACCAACCCTGCCTTCCGGTGCTTCCTGTCAAACTACATTTGGCCCGCGTTGATACACACTGTCCCTCGCAGGGTGCGCGGGCAGCTTATATTCAGGGGGAGCGCGACGGCTATCTGAGCAGCGATCTGTCACATCGCGTCCATCTGTGGGAGAAACCGAGGCAAAGAGACGTCTGGATGCTCTGTTCCCTGCCGCGCCGTGTTTACGTGCCGCCAGTGACTGCGTTAAAAAGCATCTTCATTTGCATATGTATGTGTGTGGAGAATCGAAACCGGCGATTGTAATGACAGTTTAGAGGTTTTATTCGTTCTTCTCCCCACGTCTGTCCCCCCCAACCCCCCATCCCTTCTTCCCCTGGGTTGTCAGCCGGCTTTTCTCTCCAATTATTCAATCTGGAACAATCACGGCCGTGACATTTCCAAATCTGACCTTCTCCGCTGGAGATCGCAGCCTGCCTGTCGCTATTTGCCTCCCTCTCTCTCTCTCTTTCCCCTTCTCGCATCGCACTCTCTCGCTTCTTCTCTTCCTGTCCCTCATCCTCCTTGAGTCCTCTCTCCCTTTCTTTCTTTCACTATCTCATCCACATGCACGGCCGTCCGTCACTTCCCTTCTCCGCTATGATATGTCATTCATTCATTCTGTAGGTCTTTTTTTTATTAATCTAATCTGACGCTAAAACTCCCTTATCTGCGTTTTCAGTCATTTGTAATGTCGCGGTTTCTTTATTTCATTAGAATTCCGCTTGCAGCACAAAAGCCCTGCTCTTTTTGCCATACCTGCAAGCTGTACTCTAATAAACATTCAAGCTCAACCAAGCGTTTTGTGTCTACTGCTGCAGGACACAGCTTTCCGTGTGAGCTGTGATTTGTCCTCTTACATGATATTAACAATATTCCAACATGCATGTGTTTGTATTATCCTTCTCTACATGGGTATTTTGATTTGAGTGCACAGCCATGAGCGCTGAGGCAAACCCAGGTTCATGGGATCTCTAACAAAGCATGCTGGTGCCTTCACCGCACATTATTCTTTGAGAAGTGTGCCCTTTAAACAGGCTTCCTGCCTGTGTTATTATTTTATTGTCTGGTGGAGTTGCATTTTTTTCTGTATTTTTGATCAAATAAATACAGCCTTGATGAGCACAAGAGACTCCATTAAAAAACATTAAAAATCTTACTGATCCCAAACTTTAGAATGCCAGTGTATATGTGACACATTCTGCTCTGGCTCTTTCCAGGACAACACAATGACGCCCGTATGAACCTGGCCATCGCTCTTACAGCGGCCCGTCATGGTGCTGCTATTGCTAACTACACAGAGGTGGTTCATCTGCTAAAGAAACCAGACCCAAAAACAGGCCAAGAGAAAGTTTGTGGAGCCCACTGCCGAGACATAATCACAGGTAAGACATGCCCAGACCGAAAACTAAACTAATTGTTTTAGTGACAGAAAACTGACATTTCAAGTGAACTTTTGAGAAAGAATAATGTTATGAACGCTCATGAAATGACAGAAGTCACTTTCAAACCAAGCAGCGTTCAGTGAATCTGTGTAATCAACTTAAACAGATTGTGAAATGTAAGCGTGGAAATCTTTCACCCTTGTACGAAATTCCTATTGCGTGTATTTCCAATTGAAATAACCAGATTTTGCATACAAAAATTCGCAGAACAATTGTAAATGTGACTGCACCTTAAGACATGAGATGAGATCTTTATATAAAATCTAAGGATTATTTTTTTAATTTTTGCTTTCTTTTAAAGTTTCATTTCTCCAAAACCCAGCACTAACTAATCACCTTTCAGTAGCCCCTTTAAATTTTCTGCTCATAATCCTTTTATGAAGAGATTTGTCTTCTATCCTCAGCAAATGACCCCTACGGTCAGTCGCATTGAGTTAGAGTAACACCTCACTCTGCCGGTCACAGGGCAGGAGTTTGACGTTCGTGCCAGATGTGTCATTAACGCTACCGGCCCCTTCACTGACTCCCTGCGCAAAATGGACAACCAGAAAACTGCCAACATCTGCCAGCCTAGTGCAGGAGTGCACATTGTCATCCCTGGATATTACAGGTACTTTCCCGAATCCTTCAATCATATTGTACCTTTTTTTCCTCAAGTGTATTTTTATGGTGTTAACAGTGTATGGAGAGATTACATACGTATATGTACTCTTCCTACCAATTACAGCCCGGACAACATGGGGCTGTTAGACCCCGCCACCAGTGATGGCCGTGTCATATTCTTCCTGCCCTGGGAGAAGATGACTGTTGCCGGCACGACAGACACGCCCACTGAAGTCACAGCCCATCCCATCCCAGTGGAGGATGACATCAACTTTATCCTGAGCGAAGTACGCAATTACCTCAGCCCTGACGTAGAAGGTAATGCTACCCTGTCTATGCGTTTTTCTTTTGAAAGGGTTTTGAATAAAATATGTTGCTACACTTAGAGCAAAAAGAAAAACTGATAATCTTATTAAAAATGCAATAGTACACATTGGGACAGATTTACTAACAGCTTGCGCCAGCGCAAACTGTCTTTTAGCGTTAAAATAATACTGTAAGGATTTACTAAAGATATGCAGTGACGAATTAGCGCTGAAAAGGTGTGGACACGGTTATTTTTTGCGCCTGACCTTATTGAATAGCATTTGTACGAGTTTCCCTTTCAGACGCAAAATTTATGGGAGAGTATTCAAATGAATCACGCAACGAGTTTTACTAACGTTTGCGCTCGTCAAATTACTGGTATTTGCGCCATTATTTAACGCCCCAAAAAAGCATGTCTTAAACTATTTTGCGCTTGAAATGGCTGCATTTGTTGTTGCTAGGAGGAGGCACCGCAGAGAACAGAGAGCGCGTGGTAGAAGGAAGAGGATTCTTTCCACACAAATTAATTTATTTAACAATGTAAAAAATCTTTACTGTCAATTTTGATCAATTTCATGTGTCCTTGCTGAATAAAAGTATTAATTTCTTTAAAAAAATCTTACTGACCTTAAACATTTGAACAGTAGTGTATGAATAGGCGATTTCTGCCAAAATGTTTTAGACTGACATTTTTCAATAATGAACTTAATTATGAAAGATGAAAATACTTTATTTCTGCATGCATGTTAATGAACAGACAGACCGCAATATAGACAGAACGGCTTGTATTGGTTGTGTTGAGTCTAGTAACTACTAGTTGGGACTGATAACTATTCCAAGCATCTTCCTTTGAAAGCGGAGGTATTGATTTTTGAGCGCAGCCCTCTAATTGTTCAAAGCGCTGTGGATGCAGGCTTGATTGCTTGATTGATTAGCTTCATAACTAATTTTCCTTCACAAAAAATGCTTCCTCCTTTCTCTGATTGTTAGGCAAGTCGTTAAGAGTTTGTAGAGTCTCGTTATCTCATCCAGCACTGCATGTGTCTTTCAGCTACTGTAGAAAGTCATCCGGCTGTCTGTTATTAACATTACGTGTGCTCATAAACCTCAATGTGACGGCTGCCGTGTGTCTGGGTGTCTTCTGCTTTGTTCCGGGCGTGAATGAGCAACCAAGCGACTCTGTTGACCTGGGAGGGTTGTGTGAGAGTGTGAATAAAGCAGATCATGGAGAATGAGGATGGACTGAGCGATGGAGGAATGACACAGAGACCTTGCCTAGATGAAGGGTTGAGGCTGGACTGGACTCTGCTCTAGTGAAGGCAGCTAAAGGGATTTGGCTGTGGGAGATTTGTCACAATGACAGTGTAGGGGCAACGGGCAAGATCTTGTTGTTTGTCCCTCCAGTTCAGATACGGTGTGTGAGAGAAAGGAGGATGATTGCATGAGATGAACAGAGAGATTTGAAAAATCTGGCCTGTTTAAAGGAGGGCTGTACTCAAAATAAAACAGAATTATGAAACCACCAATATGGAATTTCTAGTTGATTTAACAATTGTTTGTATGTTATTGATTACTGATATAATGGCAGATATAATGCTGTAAAATTGCATAATTTACACACTCACACAAAATGTATTATATTGAAATAATGCGTACTACTCACATGTACTCTTGTAGCTCAACTGGTGGATCAATGTCAATGAGTTTTTAACTATTTAATGCCACTGAATTGTAAAGTCATTTGCATATTCTCATGTGTGTAATACAAACTGCTTGTTGAAATGTTTGTGTCCAGTTAGGACATGTTGTAAGTTGCTGTGGATAAAAGCATCTGCAAAAGTAAAATTATTATCTTCCATTTTCAGCCTAGTTTGACCAATGCTGGTAGTTTTAAAAATGAAAAAAATTAAATATTGGCCTATACCAATATGGTGGCCCATATATTGCGTATGGTGATTGTGACTCTTCGAGAACTTCGAGTGCATTCCACAGCGTGAAAATGGACTGAATTCTTCCCTTGAGAATTAGATTACTTGAATGCATTTGACGGCCCAGTGGTCTATTGCTGAGGTTCATTTAGACTGGAGGTGTGTGTGTGTTATTGGTCTCAACAGACTGCTGTCTGCAGAGCTCCCTAGCCTTGTCATAAATGTTTCAGAGATGCCCTTTGATAATGAGAGTGCTGTCTCTGTTTTTCCCCCCATTCAGAAATATCAACCTGCATATTACAGTGGCAGGTGTACCGCAGATCGATACACAACTCCCTCTTAATAATTAATGCTTGAGATGTCACCACAATAGGGAAATTGACTCTGGACTCATACATGATGTTCTAGTAACGGTTTGTTGGTTTAACAAAGCAACTCCAGTTTTACGGACAATCTCGCTTCCCATGTTCCCCCTTGGTCATTTATCAAACAAAATAGCCTTTAATGCAGACATCACTGTCATTTTTATGTATGAACAGTTATGGATGTAGCTGTAAACAGGGCACTGCATGAATACAATCGCATAGCCTATTGTAATCCTGTCAATCAGATACACTTCAGCTGTCAGAGATTGTCAGCGTCTCTGGTTTCTTTGGTTCTCAGTGCGGCGGGGGGATGTCCTGGCGGCCTGGAGTGGCATTCGTCCGCTGGTCACCGACCCCAACTCCAAAGACACGCAGTCCATCTGTCGTAACCACATCGTCAACATCAGCGACAGCGGACTCATCACCATTGCTGGTCAGTGCCACGAACTTGTGCCTTGATCTCCATTTTTCAAATATTTTCTTTCATAAAATGGTTTAATTTAGTTTTGTACAATATTAATATTTTCATGATTTTTTTTTCATGGTTTTGAAAGAAGGCTCTTATGCTCACCATGGCTGCATTGATTTGATTAAAAATGCAATACAAAATCCAAATTCCCCCTTTTCTATAGATATATTTATTGGGAATATGATGGTTTAACTTTTGAAGTTTAAGAAATTGTCATTTTAAACTTGTACCGTCAAATACATTTGGCAATTCTTTCTTAAATTCTTTATCTTATAGTGAACATATCATTACAATTTCTTATTAAGTTTAATATTTTTAAGTAATAATAATAATAATTTTAATATTAATATTAATAATATTTGTATTTATAT